TAATGGATCTGCCTCTGTACACGTTTCTACAGCGAAATATGTGTACAGAGCATTCCATTGCTTGAGAACTCTATCGACACATTGTGATAGTGCCAGCCACCTTGTTCTCGATGGTTGACGGAGCTTCTGTTTTGCAATGTGCATTACCTCCTGAATGTCTTCCAAACTTTGCTGTCTTTTAGGGCTTGTAGTGAAGTACCTGTACAATGAAAATAACAAGTGTTCCACGTGCTTCGGTAACTTCCCACATGCATTGCACGCTGCCAGGTGAATGGAGTGGCATATGCATGGTAAAACGACAACTTCTGAATCGTTTTCTTCCAGCAGCCGAGAAACGAATGAATTATGTTTCCCGACCATTACACTTGCATTGTCAACAGAAATGCCAATGACGTTCCTGACTGGAATGTCGTATTGTTTCATTGAGTATTTAAAGCAATCGTATAAATACTCGGCATTTGCTTCTCTCAATCGTACGTACTCCAGTAAATATGTGTGGATTGCCCCTTCATATGTGTATCTCGCCAGGATGCATAAATTTTTGTACCCTGACACGTCGGTGCTTTCATCTACTAAAATTGAAAACAATGTATTCCTCAATATTTCACTGACATTCCTCACGATGGTTTCATTGATCACGTTCTTCGTGATGGCTGCAATTTTTGTACTTTTCAATGTCATCTTCTTTAAAACTTCGATTGAATCCACAGCCCTCTGCTCCATTTTCATGTGGTGGTTATACGAGCGAAAGCTTCTGCTATGTTCGATGATATTGAGAACATACATGATCTCTGCTCTTTTTACACGGTCATTTAGGGATGCAGTAGCCAGCCACGCTGCGCTGTCTGTGTCCGTGAAGCTTTTTCTTTTACTTAACATAGTAATGTGCGATTGACCTCTGGCGTGCTTCCTCAGCTCTGATTTCCCGCACTTCAGTTCTTTTTGGCAGTAAGTACAGAAGGCCTTAAACGGGTTGCCCTCGCATTTCTGCAGCCATAAAGAAAAATCGGGTTCTGCTAGCCACGAATCGCAGAATCGTTTTGTCCATGCCATCTTCTTCGAAGGAGGTGGTTTCATGACATTGGTGCTGCTGTCGCTGCTCTCATGACCTGTTTTTCACACATTAATAATATAAATTATTAAAGTGCAATAATTTATTTCTAATGAATTTATTTTTCATTACTGCATGCGAACTTCCATATATTTCCGTTCCTTATGCTTTCACAGATTTGTATAACAATTCCGTATGACCATTTCAATTTTTTAAAACTTCGTGTATTACATATGTGCGAAATCTATATAATATGAAGAACCCGATTCGGGATGGGTACGAATTGTGCACAATTGCACAATTTTCACAAATGTTCACACTGTACACCATCCCTGGATTGCGGACAATGTAGGCAAAGAGTTCTTCCGAGACATTGTGAATCACGTGTCCTTTGTCTACGAATCTCGCAATATTTCCCACATTTCTGAGCCAAAATAAATGAAGCCGCCACTTGTAAAAAATGCTCTTCTGTTTTATGCATCAACTTTTCCTGTGCAACATATGTTTCTTACAGGATCATTAATTTATTGAATTATACTCGGTGCATGAATACACATAATACATAAGTAGTAAAAATATATCTTACCTAATGATTCAGCCATTTCGCACTCACGAAAAGTAATAAAAACAAAAACAACAATAAATAACAATAACGAAAATAACAAAATAACCAGTAACAATAACAATATCGAACAGAACAAAAGAATCGCACGTGGTACTGTTTAAGCCTGGCATCCAAACTCAAATGGTAAAGATTCAGCGCCGCGTTCGTCTACGTCACACTTGGCTTGGCGCTACTATCCACGTTGCCAACTTGACGAGATGTATAGCCAAAATAAGCCTACAAATCTTGAAAATCACTGCATACCCCCACCAAGTATTGGTCCCCACCACGGTCGCGTCGTCCCCACTTTTCGGCCGAGGGAAAAAATATGAGCGCGCTGGGCCAGAGCAATACAGGAGAGACAAGGCTCAATCTATCCTTTACTCGGGGTTTCCTAGTTTCTCCACACGAGGCCTCCAAACTCAGTCAACTCAATTCGGATTGATACCCTTACAATAGTTAGTTCATATTTGTAATTTTCTAGAAACTAAATAAGGTATTGAAAACATATTTCATAGCATAAAGCTTTTATTATCACACTTAAAAGTTGTACAATAAAGTCTACATACTATGTTAACATCAACACATAAGTATAGTTTTATCATTTAAATGTTATACAATTAGCTGCATAAATTAGATCATGTATAGAAAATAAACAGTCTTTCTGCAGTTTATAATTTCCAGAATACCTAAAATAACGTACATTTTGTACTTCGTTATAAATCTTTGTATAATAAGTTATTGAAGAAACAATAGCAATTTTCACTAAGTTTTAAAGGGTGATTTACAAATTATATAATTAGATTGCACATGCATACTGCACTTTTTAAATTATATAGATATCGATTTTAGCTTCTAGCTTGTAAATTAATGCTTTCCTTAAGTGCGATTTATCTGTATAGTAAATCATAATTAAAGTACACACATTATGTACAGTATAAAATGTAAATAAACCACTTATGAGTTATGTCTATACAGTATAGTATATCACATTCGTTAAAGGTACAAAGATTTACTTTGATTCCTACGTGTTGTTCATTCTATACTACTTTAGGCAGTAAATTGGAAATGTGAAGCAATCGCAGAACAGTTTTGCAATATTTAATAGCAAGCGACAAAGTTACATATGCAGTAATCTAATAACACCGCCAAAAAAAAGAGCTTGCTAATTAATAACTGTTTTGATTAGGTACATACAGTTAGTAACTGAATTGAGATGAATATGTAAGAGATACAATTTAAACAGAATCTTTTTCTTTCAATGCTTTGTTTTTCGACTGTAATTAATTTCATTGAAATTTATTGATACCATGGAAAACTTATTAACGTGCCTACGAATATTTTATGACTATTGAAAATTCGTTTCTTTCACCCTGTCTATTTCAGAAGTAACTTATTCGAAAATACGATTCTCATTACCTTTTAAGTCAATAAATCACACATAGGAACCAAGAGAATAAAATACTTGTCAATTTACAATTTGCAAAATATCTTGTATCCATTCAATCTCAGAAACTCCTCTAAAAAAGAAGAAACAATAAATTTTCGAATAAAGTAAAAGGAATACTAAGAATTACTCACCACTTACTAAATTTGTTTAATTACCTCTACAAAGTCGTCCGTTTTCTTAACGTTGGCAGGGTAACAATCAACTATTAGAGGTCGCGGTCTTTGACCGATGCCAGGTGGCTGTTGCAATCCACACGCTTGTTCTTCGTTCGTGATTACGTTCACTAACGTACTCACTACTTTTTCGTCTAACTGCGACATTGCTTTGTTAGGCGCTTTCATGCGTCTTAAAAACAAAGCGTTCCACTTCTGTCTTAAATGTAAGAAGAATCGGGCAGTTTCCGGATCAAATTTAAATACGACCCAATCGTCGAGTTTAAAAATTGTTCCTTCATTACTCTCATCCACTTCCGAATCTGATTCACTCTCTGGTACAGCTGTAAACAACAGATAAAATTACTACATTTAGACACAAGATATATTAAAAAAAGGGGCGATACTTACATTCAGCCTCATAAATTACATCCACAGACAATCTCGCTGGTCCGCAAAACAAAGCCACTGTTAACGGATTTACTAAAGTGACCATTCTAACATGACAAAATCGTCCTGTGCGACTCATTTCTTCGTAAAGCAACCAGTCACAGGGCAAAGCCTCCACGTTAGCTGCGTATGTTTGAGTGGATGTCATTCTTGGTGACTTGGGACAATCTCTTAATGTTGATGACGGATGGAAAAATACTTTCACTTCTTTCCTGTAAAATAAACAAATTATCAAACACATGAATAATTAGTATACTATAAAAAATATAACGAAAATTTGAACAGTGTAACATACTGTGTTCTTAATTGCAAGTGCTCCCTGTCAACTCTCATCAAGTTTGGATATAAACCGGCAGTTAACGCAGCTTTCACTACCGCCCAATTTTCAGAATTAGAATTCAAATCTCTGATATCTCCTGGCCCTCGTGTTCTAACAAATCCAGATGCACGAAGTTGACCAAGAAGTTGAGTGCGCATTCCAACAACCATTTCCATTACGGCAGCAGATATGAAATTTTGATCGCAGAATGCGCGTTCTTTGCCGCTGGCCCGTGCATTTTGCCAACCTTGAAAAGCACGTAAAACTGCCATATGATCGGAATACGTATTCGTCGCGAATTTCTTACGAGCCACAGTCGCAGCTCTTTTCTGCGATGGTTGGAGAGGTAGAATGAAAGGATCCCTGAAAGATATTTTTCCATATAATAACATTCTCACTAATATAACGCAAGTTAATACATACTATAATTCTGCTTACTTGTATGCCAAACTACAGACGATAGTTAAGACTGGGTCTAAGCATTTCAAAACAACGGCATATAACAACATTTTTCCAAGTCGTGGTTCAATTGGTAAATCGAGCAAATGACTTCCTAATTCTGTAAGATCTTCCCATGGATCCAATGCATCGATAGTTTTTAATAATTGAACTGCATTCCTCGTTACTGCGTTAGAAGGTGGTTCTAATGCCCGGTCTAGAAATTCTGCGATAGGTGTATTTCCCGGAGCTAAATGTTTAGTGTATAAACATAATTCTTGCAACGGTGATCTCAATATTTCAGGGGTTTGATAAGCCTCCATGCTGTTGAATCGTATCGAAGAAAACAAGCGATAGCAAATGCCTTTTCTACATCTTCCTGCTCTGCCCATACGTTGCTTCGCACAGGCTTGAGAAATCCAATTGGATTTAAGCATGCACACTCCGGATAATGCATCGAAAGACTTTTCTTTAACCTTGCCGGAATCAATAACGTATACAACGTCGTCAATCGTGATACTTGTCTCCGCAATATTTGTCGAAAGAATAATTTTTCGAGTTCCCGCGGGACTTGGTTTAAATACTTTCTTTTGATCACTTGTTTGCATGTTAGAATGAAGCACATACAGATTGTAGCGCAATCCTTGATTCATTTCTTTCTCTTCGTTATTTATTTTTTCTCTCATAGTTACGATATCGTCATATCCTGGTAAAAATATTAAGAGAGAGCCGGGTGGCATTTTTAAGTGAATATGCAGAATTAATTGTAGAAGAAGATCATAATTAATTTTATCGTCGTTAAATGTATGATGGTATACATCTAACAATAATTTATCTTCCTCCGAGAGTGGAATATCTTTAGTATTTGCCGGCGACGCATTTTGTGATGTACAATCGTAAGTTTTCATATACGCTTCGATTAACTCGGCACATTCAGTTTGATTCATGTTTCTAGCCCAATCTAATGCGGTCCATTCATTGCCAGCACGTAAATATAAATTTGCTCCCAAATTTAACAGCTGCTCTGTAGTATTTATATCTCCTCTACCTGCAGCCACCATAAGCGGAGTTACAGACGTTGTGGAATGTTGATAATCTACAGATACATTTTCGGACAGTATGAAGTACAAAATTTGTGCGAAATTGTCTTCACCCCCGTTTAACCATGCTTCGGAAATGCTTTTATCCATTTCTTCTACTAGCCACGGTTCCAATTTCGCTTTCTCTGGAATAGATTCGTTCTGCTGTGCTAAAATTGGCGCAGGTAATACGCACCTTTTACTCATAACATTTGATTCCGATTGTTGGGGCTTATATTGAGTCCAACTTTCTAAAATTTTACATTGATCCTTTTTATTCATGAACTCTTTCCTCTTTGAAAGCATTTCCTTCGTCATGTAACCAGTCATCTTTAAGACATCTTCGAGGAAATATATATCGACATCGTGCGATCTGCCTAAGACGTTCACAACTCCGCATTTGTTAAAATATTTTATAAAGATGTTAACATCTAACGTAGCGCTCATTAATATAAGTTTCAAGGACTTGTGTTTCTGTAATGCATCTTTTAATGCGATTAGAAGAAAATCACAAAATCTATCGCGCTCGTGAACTTCGTCTACGATAACATGTGTAACAGTACTCAAGGCAGAATCCCCTGCCATGAGAGTTCTAAGCAATACACCATTTGTACAGTATGTTAAAAGAGTTTTCGGAGCAACTCTACTTTCAAGCCTTATTTGATAACCAAACGTTTGACCAATTTTCTCATCTCTCTCGAATGCTACTCGTTCAGCTACCGAGACAGCGGATAATCTCCTTGGTTGAGTACAAATAATTCTACACGGTTGATGCCTTTGTTGATAGTATTCAAGAATAAATTGAGGAACTTGGGTAGTTTTCCCGCTTCCAGTTTCGCCTCCTATTATAACTACTTGATTAGTATTTAAAGCATCGAGAATATCCTCTCTGCAGCTAAAAATAGGGAGTGCCTTGCGATAATTTAATACGTCAAAGTTAGTCTTCAATTGTGGAATTTGCGGCACGCTGTTATTTAATCTGCCGATTGCCTTTCCATTTGTATTTACTGAAACTAAAGGTTGTAAGCTATGAACTTGAATCGAAACTTCAGATATACTGCATATGCATTTATATTGTAAGTACCATCCGCATTAAGAGGTCGTTCTCTTTCGATTGGTGGTAACAGGTCTTGGCATTCTTTATGATTTAATGGGAAAGTTTGCAATAAATTATAGATACTCTGTCTCGATGACTTTTGTAATTTAATTACAGCATCAGCTTGAACTATAGTCGACCCTTCTCTTTTATATACAGTTATAAAACGATTCATACCTTTACTGTTGAGGATAAATTTGTTTATTCTTTACTATGGTGGAATCCTTTATACAGGGTGTTTGGTTACTGGTGAGAAAAATTATAAGGGCTGACTCTAGCAGCTAAAATAACGCAGAAGTCTAACAAGAAAATTGGGTCCGAGGTCCCATTTTTTAGGTATTAGCGATTCAAAATAGGCAGGCCTACCAACAATCCATGGTTCTCAGAAGCAATGTACGTCTAAAACTCTAATTAAATGATGCAGCTTCAAATGTAATTTTGTCTTCTTTTAGCTTGTGGAATTACTCCTTAAAATAGTTCCCACTAGTAGCTAAACACTCTGTATATTCTTTTTAACTTACCCCCTGCTTTTAGATTTCAGTCCAAGTTCAAAAGCTAGTTTATGAATATAGGCCCTCTCTTCTGCTGTATATGAAGATGGAAATTCTAATTCCTTCTGATCTATAGTTTCCAACAATTTCTTTATTGTTAAATTTACTGCAATTCTAGTATCTTCCCCAATAGGGGGTGTCCTTTTATGACGATTTCTACGTGGCATTATGTACGTATGTCTAAAAACTATTTCTGAAAATAAAAAAGTGATACATTTAATTTTTGCAATTATAATATATTCTACATAATTAATATATATATAATTAATAGTATCAATCTGTTTGTACTTTTCTCAAAGGTAAAAGACTGATTTCATAAAATTGTATATTGTTTTGTAATTCCATAATTCGAAAAATGGATTACTCGCGTTTCTTAAGCTAACATAACATACTGAATGACAGAACCAACAAACCGAACAACGTTTGTTAAGCATTACAGTTATAGAAATTAATAGACGAGCGTTAAATTACATCATAACCAATATACGTATAATTATTTGGAAGGTCTTGTTCACTTCGTAACATCGACGATATTAAATGATACAACGTATACTTCTCAAGAATCGAAAATTTTGTTTTTACTCACATAACAATTGAGGATGAATCGACCAATATGCATAAATCGTACCGATGACAAGGTAAACGTGTAATAAGAAATTTTCAACTATAAATATTGTAATGATCGCAAAAGTGCCTGAAAATGATCTCTAATAAAAACACATTACACCTGACCTGACTGAGAATCTGTAATCATCTGTAATAAACACAACGAACAATATTTACGTCCTTTAGATTGAAAACTCCCTCTGTTTCATTGTAGGAAATTGCATACTTGGAATTGTTCTTATCGATAAAAAAGTTTGTTTACTAGCCCCACAGTTGATATTGCGGCCAAAGTGGCAAAGTTGATTTATCTTGCCTATAGAGTGCAACACGATCGTTTTCACGCAAGATTCGCAAACAGTGAAAGCAGAACCCAGACCGTTCCAGTAAACAATATGGCTGGTTCAGTTTGGTGCGCGGGTTATGTCGTCTCCATCGTGTTTTCCGAATGTTTGTCGTGCTACATCAAGGATTAGCAGTTTCCGGTAAGTGTACATAATCTTAACAATACGAAAACTTATGCAAATTAGTAGTGTGATCATGTTTTACAACGCGGAACTTCGTATGGGAAGATTGTCGATTACGAACTATGCCTTTCCGTCAATTACTGTCTGACTATGTTTGACAAATTTCTTAACAAAAATTTGAGATTCGCTTCAAGTAGATCTACGTACGATTTCACCCGTCACGTTCATTTTTAGATACGTTAAACCATATCTAATGGTACATAAACTACATTTTAAACGTTTCCAATGCAAAATAGGAACCACGCTCGAGATTTTAAATTTCGCGACGTGAATGATATTATCGTACTCTTCTTTCACCTTCGTACATATTGTGTGTACGTGAATCGCATTAAACAGGCCAACGTATCACCGGTTATCTCTTGCGTTATTCGCGAACTTGGTCAAAGTTCCAGTTTCCGATTGGCACTCTTCCTACGTGTCTAACAATGAAGATTAAACTTCGTGACAACGCGAGCGAAGCAACAGGTTTTTTGCTGAGAAGTAACTCATGACCTCCAGTTTTACTACTCGCCGCTCTTTACGGTACAAATATGATTGTTGCAAACGTGTCTAGTTACATCATTGGGGTGCTAATCATGAAAGTAAACAAAAGTTTTCAATAAACAATTCAGTCATCATTGAAACTGTATCGAGCGAAGAAAATTGTTCGAACATGTGTGCAAAATTTGATCAACAATCTACTGTAATTATTTTTAGACTGATTTAAGATTCGGTAAAAATCACAATAGATAGATAAGATATTTATTTCATTGACGTATGTATTACAGTAATATAACGACAATAACGTTATGGACGTTATCGCCATCAGATAAGATAAATAAGCATTATTATATTTATACAACGTTAAAAGTGATCCTTGCTTTTTTTGATTCTTTAAAATTTTTCGAACGTTACCTGTTCCAGACTTAAAACTTCACGTAATTATCAAACCGTTCTTACTTAGTAGAGAGAAAAGAATGAAATTGCATTCGCCGATATTTGATTTTAGCCGTAATATCGCATATCGAAGTGCTACAACCTAGGGTTCAAGGTGATGGTCAATTTAATTTCGTTCAATTCGCTTTGTACGTATGTTTAATTTATCAAAAAAAGTGCCAGAAGAGAGAATTGAAAAGCAACAATAAATGTTGTATTCAAATACGAGATAATGCCAAAAACAGAGGACAAATCACGAAGTTAAAAAGAAAGATGTTCGAATTTTTTTAGGGAAAGTCTCGAGCGTGTTTGTTGCTCGAACCACGTTCGTTGTCGTTCAGGAATTACGTAAGTTAACACTGCATGTAACTCGTTGCGCTTGTCTATCAGTTAATGCTCGATTCCCATTGATTGGTGTCTGAGAAGGTGGCGTGGCGAAGTATCTGCGTACGTACACCTAGTCATCTGATGTTCATGTTTAAATAAATATTGGATTATCAAGCTACTAAATACGAATAAAAACGATCCAACTTGCTTAAGCTAATCTATTTGATCACCTATACGTTTCGTTTCAAGACGTTTTGTACGAGATACTTACATGTATAGTATGTGTGTAGTTACTTACTAGTTAGCGTTATAATTTAATTGATTCGCGATTAATCGACAAAAAATATTGGAATACTTTTTACTTGTCAATAAGAAGTCGGCTATGTTTACTTAACAGGTAAGGTTTTTATTCGTTTCCTTTTTAACAATCTTGGTATTAATCATACGATAGAGTTAATTGATCTTACCGCTGCATACAACGGTTCATTGCACTTTACTATTCAATACAGATCACGTTGACGCGCGTCTTATCGAATACAATTAATTTCGTTTAACATTCCCGGGACATCAAATGTGCATTTAGAATTCAAAGTGTTACCAATAGACCATTTATTGTTGTAAACAGATCATGGGAATGTAACAAAATATGTTATTTCTGAGATAGGACAAATGAAGGTATGAAGGAGGTTCTCCTGAAAATCAAAAGTCTTCAAGAACATTGCGTTCCGAAATTCATTTTATTTTTCGAAAAGACACGAGTATAACAAAATTTACGATTCTATAAACAGCCTATCTTGGCTACTCTGTATTTATACATATGCAACCGTATTCGTCTCTGCTTTGGAGAGCTTATGAGCTGATCCTTTCTCCTACGAAGTCCGTGTCGATCGACCTTGGACTCAGAAACGTCACGTGCATTTTCACTTGTACGAACGTACTGTAACTATGGGACAGTATGTTCTCGTGTCACGTTTTCGTCATATTTCTTGGTGCTTCGAAATTCTTATAGTTACATGTATTCGCGTATGTACTACGTCACCTCGTTAAACATTCAAGTCTCGTTATGGGAGATGGGCAAAAATTTTTATACCAAGCTAATTGTAAGTTACATAAAATGCATATCTATAGCCTGTGTTACAGAATCGGTAGGCCCAAAGAAAAATACTTTTCCGCGTTCGGTGCTGCATTCACTGTCCAAGACTACTTATTGCCGAAACGGAAGCGGAAAAGAATGTGGGCCTGCTGATCCTAACAGGCCATAGGTATTCATCTCAAGTAGTTTAGACACAATAGACTTTAGACTTTAATATCTGAAAACCTAATTAAAATCGTCGTCATACATGAAATGGTCTTGAAAAGCTCTATCAAATGATGCAAAACTAAATATTAGTGTGAATCAAAAGTTCGTGCGTTTTTGTTGTCGTTTTTGTAATTTGTATAATTTTTTTACGTCAATTGTGGTAAGGTTTGAATAATTTATAATACCAGTAAAAAGATAAAATATGTGGAAAGGGAAGCGCAAGCACTGATATTCGTATATTCGTTTATCTGCACCAAATTGTACGAGAACATTAAAACATTGGGCTAACGATCGTGTATGTAAAATAACTTCAGGTCACACACATCGATCCTCCCACGCGGTACCTGTAAATAATGTAGACGTTCACGTGACTTATTCATAGGGTGGATATATGTAGTCGTGAACTCTCTGCAATCTGTTTACGCAGCCTGTCGACAATTTCTAGCGATGAAATCAATTCATTTTCAAGTATCACCATTATCCGACCACCAGTCTTTACAGTGCATTAGTTAATTCGTTGGTCGACTATAAATTTTGCATAAAATTATGGAATTTAGTTGGTTTTAGAAAAGAGCGAAGCCCATACAAGACGTTAAAAAAAAATTGAAAATAATGAGTACATTGGCTCTAACTAATAAGTCGCTTTTTAACTTTTTTATCTGACTGAGCCTATAATGAAATTTATTGTAGCGCATTTTGAATGTCTATACATATATGTATAACTTGCATAGATCTTCAAAATGTGTTATATAAAATTTTATTACAGATCTAGGAAAAAAAGTTGAAAAAGGCAACTTTTAGCTCGTGATTTCGATTTATCGCAATTTTTTTGACATTATTTTTATATCTAAAACTAATTTTTAACTTTTATATATAAACTAATTTCCCTATTTTATAAAAAAAATTAAAATTTTATGAACCAGTGTTATAATAGTTATTATGTTTTAATTAAAGAAGAATGAACAATTTTTACATCCACTGTACATAGTTTTGTTTCCAATATCGGATAGTTTTAAAAGTACATTCATGTAACTGGGAGAACCGTAGAACAAAGCGTCACCTTGAATTTTTTTAAATAGTCAATTACATGCTATTTCATCCAATCAGTAAAATAAACATTTATTTAAAATACCGCAAGAAAATAATAGTTCTTTCACCACCATCGTTTAACCCATTTGTGTCATTCGGAAAAATGGGAAATTGGCCCATATCACCAAAATTTGTTTTTAGTACATACATATAGGGTGTTTGCGAAATCGTGGTACATCCGGCAAGGGGACGATTCCTCACATAAAATCTAGTCGAAAGCAAGGAATATAATCTTTTCATACATGGCGTCATTTTCGAGAAAAATCGTTAGGTACGCGTGTACTTACACAGAGTTTACTCGTCTGATTTTCATTATTTTGGGCATAAACTATTTCTTTCACGTGAATCCACAAATAAAAATCGGGCGAATAAAGTAGACTCTCGAAAATATAAAAACAAATTTTAATTTTAAAAGCCTTATCCCCAATCTCGAATTAACAAATTTATTTTATTCTCATGTATGTAACTAATTTTTTCATTTGGTCACCGATTTCTAATAGCTTATGTTTGTACGTACAGAATCGCGTTCACAATGACTATCCTTATACCAAATTAAAGTGTGTATCACGTGATTACGTAATTGTCAGTTGCGCTACCAATATCTACCTTTGCGCTGCATAGTTTCTTGTTCTTAGCGAGCTCCTTTTGCTACTTATTTTAAAAAATATTTAAACTTCTTCGGGGCTTAAGATACGCACTTCTTATTCAATAGTTCTTTTAATTTGAATCTTTTCCTTTGTGGTAAATGGCAATATTGTTTACAGAACGTATGGAGGAATTATTAAATTATTATTACTAAACAGTGGTGGCACTTGACTTGTAAGCTACAATATTCAGTCTAAGAATTCTGTATTTTATATATATCGTTGAATGTACTAACCCTTTGAGCTGCAGTGGGGCCTTGGACTCCCATCTTGTTAAATTGCTTTTTTAATTATTTTCAGCACTGAAACCTGATTTTTCTGTTTCTTTTTTTAAATTGTTTTATATCATCAATACCTTAGCTAACACTATGGTGCATGTTATTTACACGAATTATTTATATAATTATACACGCGATCGGAATTTAAAAGTTCAAACACCATTTTGAATTAAAAAAATTCTAATGTCAGGGACCCCAAAAACGTATACATAAGCAATA